GGGGGGGGCGGAAGGACTCAGCCGGTATAATGTCATAGGGTCTACCCTCCTAAAGCAGTCATTTTCTCTAGGGGAACTGATCTCTGTCATCTGGAGATCAATTGTAGCAGTGGGAGATCTCCAGGTCCCACCTGGAGATTGGCAACCCTAGGGGAAAGTCAGCTGCACAGCAGGGGGTTGAAGAGAATGGTTTGATGGCTGCTGGACCAAGATTGGCAACAATAGTTCCCCAGGAGCCCCATCGTAAATGCACCAAACAATTCCTCAAGATTTTCCAAAACACTACTCTGTTTTGGGCTCCTGGGGAACTTTGTAGTAGCACCAAAGCTTTAAGATCTCTCCAGCTGTCACCTGGAGACTGGCAACAGCTTGTCTGGAGTGTGGGCAGTATGGCATCGTATCTGTCTGAGGTCCCCCTCTTCCTCCTACTCCTCAGATTCCACCCTCAACAGGCTTCATCCCTAAAATATCCTGGAAGTTTCCAACCTGGAGTTGGCAACCCTATCTGCCTGTCTGTCTTAAGTTTTACAAAAAAACCCCCACAGCCTCTGCCTAGGGAGCAGCTGACATCATTCTCTCTCCCAACTGAAAATTCCAACTGCCTTGTGTGTGGGGGGGGTGAGTCTGAGGTGTGGAATGGAGTGTAGTCCAATCAGCTTCCATATGTAAATGACCTTGGAACGCTGGGCGGGACTGCACAAAGCAGCCAATGAACCCAGCCAGTGTCTTCCGAGTGGCAGTTTTTTCGGCCTAACACTAAAGAAGTGCATTTTAGAACTTTGGTCCCCACTACTCTTTTATATATAAGGAGAGATATGTCTGCTACCTGGCATTACATTTTATGACACACATGGCCCAGCCCAACAAGGTCTCATTTATGTCAGATCCGTCCCTCATAACAAATGAATTCGACATCCCTGATCTAATGCTTGTAGAATGGAGCATCTTATTGGTTAATCATTATCCAGGTAGTCTAAGGTGATAAAGCACCAAAGCCATAGCAACAGGCGGGGTTTGGAGCCTCTCTTAAATTATTAGCTTCCTTTGTTTATTGAAGTATTTTATTTATTTATTTGTATCCTGATTTTCTGTCCAATGGAGGACCAAAGCAACTTACAAAACAAAAGAGAAAATATAATAGAAAGGGGGAGGGGCTTCTGAGTCATCTCTCTCCTGATTTATATAAAAGCTAGTTTTTTACCTATGAGCATGTAAGAAGAAAGAAGCAGACTGTATTGTTACCCAGGTGCTTCAGATAAATCAAGTCTGAGGTAAATCTTCCTCTGCAGCTAGCCAATTAAGATCCTCTTCCCAAGGCCTGCTTTGTACGTGTCCACATGTAGGCATGAAGCAGATAGTAACAGGAGGCAGAGCTTTTTCAGTGGTGGCGCCTTGACTTTGGAATGCTGTTCCCCATCAGGCTTGCCTGACACACTGTTTTCTTTCCGGTGCAAAGCTAAAACTTTTTTTTTTACACCCAGGCTTCTCACTGAGGGATTTCATTTGTTTTCTAAAGCAGTTTTATGGTTTGCTTGTAGCCCAAGGACTGTTTTATGAGGATCATTTTAGGCTGCTTAACTAAGTTTTTATGGCTTGCTCGATCATTCTTAAGCTGCTGTTCTATTATTCTGTTGAATTACTTTTATGTTGTGGGTGAGCAGGTCTCTAGAAAGTCAGCATTTAAATTTTCTACATTAAAAAATACATAGCCTGGTCAGTTAGTGCAAAACCACTGACTGAGATGACAGGCAACCTATTGGCACTTTAAAGATTTTCTAGTTTAATCTAACTAATTATATGGCCTGTGCTTAGAGCTTTTATCTTGCTTGTATTGATTTGTGGTGGCAGCTTCTTATTTAAAACAATTCTAGTTGTGCTAAGTCCCCCAGTGCATTAACACTTTCAGCCAATTATTTGGCTCTGTTTTCTTCAGTTATTTTTGTTAATGCTTCACAGCTAAACGCATGTAGCAACTTTGCTGCTAGTGTTCATAAAGCAACATTGTGGAATGCACTTCTGGGAAATAGCTGATATAAAATGTAGGAGAAAGATGGTGTGTTCAGTGTAAGTGGAACTGTGCATCATGTTTAACCATATCCTGTGTCTGTATTTTTAGGACGTGATTGTTGGCAGTCTGATCTCAGGGCTACTGGTTGCTCTCATGTATCCGACCTGGGATTTCCTTGACCACCTGATGATCACCAGCCCTTGGTGCCCCATATTCTGCATTGTCGTGCCCCTCCTCTTGTGCTACAACTACCCCAAACTTGATTATTATAGTCCTACAAAGGCAGACACCACCACAATTCTTGGAGCTTCAGCAGGAAGTGGGGTAGGGTTTTGGATAAATAATCACTCTGTAACAAACTATTCAGCTGAACTTGTCAGTCCTCCTTCAATAACTGCTGAAATGGTCTTGATGGCACTTTCAAAGTTTTTGGTGGGCATTTGTTTCCTAGTGGTCATACGGCAGATTATTAAAAGCATGGCACTTAGAGCACTGTGTTCTTGGTACAAGGTTTCTGTTGATGATCCTATAGCTGGACATCGAACAGAAATTGAAGTGCCATATAAGTTCATTACCTACTTTTCCATTGGCCTTAGTGCTACAGTTCTTGTCCCATTACTGCACGAGGTCTTACGCTTAAACTGAGTAATGTACTATTTGCTTTTGGGGAGGGACCCAGTCCAAATTACGGGGGCGCAGTCCAAGTTGTGCAGTGGGAAAAATCCCCAATCCAAATGTGTTGTGCCTTTCTGCATTGGTCTAAAACATAGGTAGTATTGGAAACACAAAAGGACTTTTTTGTGCTAATGAAATGTGCTGCGATTTAGCATGAGAACAGAAGAATATAAGAAGCTGCTGCTACTTCAGTGACTTTGGCTGGCTTCAAGCAAACCTTTAGCTGAGCTACAGCCTAGTACTCTGCCATGCTAGATGTTTAGCTGTCATCTCTGTCCTACAGTGTGGGGTTGCTCAAGCCACAAATTGCAGCTGATGTTCCAGAATCAAGATGTCACCAATTCAATGCATTGGAAAGGATCCTTACAGGAAGGGATACTGTTTTTTTAAGAGTTTTACATGCATTTAGGTAAGTGGAGTAAGATGAGGTGAGGACAAAGATGTAAGGAAAAACAGATGCCTCTCTTCAAGGTATGCCAGCAAAAAAGAAGCTTCTACAAGAAGTGCAGACTTGAGGGCCATACTGTTGGCTAGATAGCCTGAGCTTGACCAAAGCCCATCTTGGAAGATGATTTGAGTACCCAGATTCATATCCTAAGATGGAGACACACAATTTACCAGGGTGTGGTAATGATTAGAGTCAAAGTTGTTATGTTCTTAATGCCTCCCTATTGAGATGGTGCCAGATTGGCTCACCTTGACATCCTTCTGTGGAAGGTTTTTCTATTGCTTGTCTGAGAGCAGTCCTTTTTTTTCAACACACACACACACTTTAAAAAGTCTAATTATGGACTCAAAGTTCTCAGTGTTCTTCGCCAAACTGTCAAAGCATCTCCTCTTCAGTTTTATTTTTCCGTCAGTAGATGGAGATGTTTCAGATGCAGTATAGTGTGGTTTCTAGACTTAGTGTTCTTGCCCAAAACTGGTAAAGACAACCACAGCTGCCGTGACTATTGGGCCCTGAAACAGTAGAGCTAAGGAACTGAGAGCAGGTATGGATATAATGATGGTGCTGAGTTTGTTTTTTAAATTAGTGACTAATGGTCCTGACCATTTTATTTCTTCCCTTCATCACTTCTGTGCCAAATGGTGGTGTTCTGCTGTCATCTCAAGCTTCAAGCAAGGATTCTAAACTGGTGTCTCTTTTTTTCTCTAATGGCTGTTTTAAAACAAACAAAACCAACAAAAAGAACAAAACACTTCTGTGGATTTGAGCCCTGGGATGGGCAAACCTCTTTACTGAATTCTTTCTCAAGCTAGTACACATGCCAAAGAAAGTCCAGTGAAAATAAATTCATTCTAAATCACCAGAAATCATTTTGTGTTTTCAACTTTGCATTAAAACCACCACTAAAAGGGAACAAATATATTATTATCATCAGTTACCATGAACCTTTAAGTAAATGTTTTAGACTCACACATGACAGGGAAATTAACTGGAATCTTAAGTGTGAAAGTAATTTTAAAAAAAATTAATATTAGAAAGGTTCCCTTTCTGGTTTTATGGTTTTAACCCCTCTCTTTTCTTCCTGCATTTGCACTTCTGGCAGGCTGAGGTGTTTGCATTTCTCCAAGCACCTTTACATATTGGGTGATACTCATATTCTGTAATATATAGGCTTATGAAGGCTAAAGGTCTGAAGCCCATGGAGCTCTAGTATCAAAAATGTTAATTCCTCAAGCAGAACTAGATGCTTCAAGAAAGACAGGGAACTTCTGATCTATATTCTTGATATGATGTTAATATGGATTACCCTTGGAAGAAAAATCAGCAGAGGATGCTGACCCCTTCCTGGTGACTTCTGTTGTTCCAGGCCTTGACTGAAATGAGAAGTGAGCCTGGTTTTCGGGGAAACTGCTTTGGGATAATGGTGTGGTGAATTTGCAGGTACAAAAGGCTAAGCTCCTCTCTTTCCTGCCCATCAGTGCTTCCATGCAATTGAGGCAAGATAATGTAGAGTGTGGGGCCAGACTATAAATGGGAAGAGCCGGGTTTAAATCTTCACTCAGCTGTGAAGCTCATCAGGTGACCTTGGGCCAAATATACCTCACAGGCTTATTGTGAGGATAAAATAGAATCATGTATCCTGCCCTGAGCTCTTCGGAGAAAGGGTGGATTTTAAAAAGTTATACAGGTTAAGGCCTCTCTCTCACATTTGTTATCTCAGCAAAACAAAAGGCTTGAGCCAGTGTTTACACAAATGCCATCTAGTTCTGCATTCAGAGAAAACAGACTAGATTCTTAGTTTTGGGGTCTGACTTTGTAATTGCTTGATGTGCATCTGCCTCTCGTGTGTGGTTACAAAATTCTCATGTTACAGCATTTTATTTTGTATGAACAAATGTACTCAGGTTTATAAACTTCAACCTGCAGCTTCTATTTTTGTATCTCTTTATAAGATGTACGGTATAAACTGTGTTCCAAAAAACTGTCGTTTCTGGCTTTTTTCAAATGTTTCCAAGACTATTTTTATTAAAGCTTATTTTGTCAAGTATCTTTTTTTGGTAAGAGCCTTGTATGTAGCAGAGTCTCCTTGGGACTCTAAAAATAATTTCCCCTGTACAGGGAATGGTCATCTTTTTCAAGCCATGTCTCAGTTCTTAAGCTTGTATAGGCCAAAGTATGGAACTTGCAACAAGTTGTGCAAATTAACCAAATATAGGCCCCGGTCACACGGCAAAGTTGCCGGGGGAGAGGCACGGATGGTGGGCGGATTATCCGGGTGCAATCACACCCCAACATCTGGGAAGTGGAGCGCACCGGTGGCTTACCGCCGACAATGTGCCTTAAAAAACTAGTACCTCCAAGGTACTAGTAAACATTTGCCATGGGCTGCCTCCAGACACCCGTGGTGTGATCGCGCCAGCACGCAGCATGCCCCTCCAGTCCCTCATTTACCCGCTGGCACCGAGGGAAGGACCTGTGGTGTGCCGCCAGTGCGTCTGATCACGCAATCGCGCATCAAACTGTGCCGGGGCAATTAGCCATGCCTCCCCCCAGCGATATCCGGCCTGTGTGACCGGGGCCATAGACTCCTTGTGTACCATGAACAAGTATACATGGCTAGTTGTTAAATCCCACTAACAGGACAAAAGGTTTAGTTTCTATTTTTCAAAACTAGTTTGCCTAAGATGAGCTAGGAAAGTTTGTCATTCATGCAGAATTAGAACTGAGCACTTCCTAGGTTATAAGGCTGGATCCACTGCAGATGTTTTTGACTGCCACCCAGGTATCCTCAGTATGTCAGCAAATTTGGAAAATGCAACAGTGGCCACAGGATTGGAAAAGGTCAATTTACATTCCAATCCCAAAGTAGGGCAACGCCAAGGAATGTTCAAGCTACTGCACAATTGCACTCATTTCACATGCTAGCAAGGTCATGCTCAAGATCCTACAAGCTAGGCTTCAGCAGTACTTGGATAGAGAACTGCCAGAAGTACAAGCTGGGGTTTTGAACAGGTAGAGGAACTAGAGATCAAATTGCCAACATTCACTGGATTATGGAGAAAGCAGGAGAGTACCAGAAAAACATACCTTCTACTTCATTGACTACGCTAAAGCTTTTGATTGTGTGGATCACAACAAACTGTGGCAAGTCCTTAAAGAGATGGGAGTACCAGACCACCTCACATGTTTCCTGAGAAACTTGTATAAGGGTCAAGAAGCGACAGAACTGGATATGGAACAACTGATTGGTTTAGAATAGGAAAAGTAGTACGACAAGGATGTATAGTGTCACCCTGCTTATTTAATCTATATGCAGAGTACATCATGCAAAATGTTGGCCTGGATGAATCGCAAGCCGGAATTAAAATTGCCCTTAGTTTTGTCTTAACAGCAATCACTGCTTCTCTGCATCCCATTGGAAAGATATCAACGGTCATAATGAGTAACCATATACCTTAAAAATCTCCCAGATCTAAATTAAGGAAATTAATATTCTGCACCTAGAATAAATTATGCAATATATGTCTAAATACACCTAATTTGCATAATGTAGACTGCAAAATATGGGGTTATATAATCATTGAGAGAGACAGAAACATTTAGATTTGGTGTGACAAACATCCAGAAAGGTAGAAGGTAAAGGCAGCGGTAGAGGCAAGGAGGCAAAATTAACAAAATTAAATTAATTTTGCCTCTGTCCCCCCCTGCTATTACATGCATTCACTGAGGGCTTACATGGAGTCTAAAAGAAGAGATTCATTCTGCTGCAGTTCAGTGTGAATGAGTCTGGCCTTTTTAGGGCTACTTGATTTTCTTTGGTGGAGATCAGGTGGGTAAGAGCAAGTTTGGTGTAGTGGTTAAGAGCACAGACTCTAATCTGGGAGAAGCAGGTTAGATTCCCCACTCCTTCACTTGCACCTGCTGGATGACCTTGGGCAAGCCATAGTTCTTGAAAAGAGCATTTTCTGTCAGAGGTCTCTCAGCCCCACCTACCTCACAGGGTAGGGAAGGGAAAGGAGTTTGTAAGCCGCTCTGAGACTCTGACTGAAGGGCGGGGTATAAATTCAAACTCCTCTTCCTCTCCTCCATTTTACCCTCACAACAACACTATAAGGCAGGTTAGGCAGACTGTGACTGGCCCCAGGTCACCCAGCGTGCTTCCATTGCAGAGTGGAGACTGGAACCAGGGGTCTGCTAGATCCTAGTCTAGCTGCCATACTGGCTCTCAAGCAGCTGAGACACTCAATACTTCCCATACATCCTACTGCCTCTATCCACAGGATGTATTGAGTCAACACCAAAAATAGCTCTAGAAGATTCTGAACGATACTCTTAATGGGCTTGAGAAGTCTTGTGGGTGGGTCTGAAGCAGATGCACAGAGACCACGAAGAAGAAAAATGGGTGCTAAGCAGTCTTCTACTGCAATCCTATAACACAGCACCCATGAACAATGTTTCTCAGGCTGTGGTAAGCAGAAACAGCATTGTCACTGTTCAAATATTTACCCAAGCTGAGTCTAGCATCACAACCGTAAGGGGAGCGTTGGCACAAAGGATTTATCCTCTGGTTAACATCTGAACTGAACAGAGTTGCTGTCAGTTCTACCCTGCGCTGGTGTGAGCTACCATCCTTGTCCCCAGCTCGCCGTCCACCCAGCGGTTCGAAAGCTTCGGCGAGTAGATAAAATGGGTACCACTCCTTAGAGAGGGTGGGCACACTAAACCCCCGTAGGGGAGATGTTAGCCGGCGAATGGAATGTCCAGCTCGTAAGCTCGGAAGCCTGATAAAAAGACCTCTTCGGCATTAAGAAGCCTGTAATGGGCCAATCCGGCCAGGCGGTGACAGTGCGGCGCTACAATTCAAAGCAGCCCAGGAAGAACCAACGTCATCAAGCCAAGCCGAAAATTGAATGCCTCCGGAACACATCTGAAGCCTACAGCTGAACAAAAATCCCCGTCGGCTGCAAAATGTGTGCGATTTAAAGAATTATATGTTGTCCTCTCTTACCCCTATGAAATTGTTAGTCCCTTGTGTGAAACTGTGTAACTGTAAATCGCTCAAAGCCAGCAACTCTGCCGAATTGAGCGATCAATAAATCAGAAGGTATTATTATTATTATAAGTGAAAGAGTTCCCTTAGGCACATACAAGCTGAGTTTGGCATCTGGGGGAAAGCATGGCTAGTCCTTCCAACAAGAAAACAGATGGAAGGCTCAGATAAGCCCCTGCACGTGAGCAGCTTTGGATAACCCAGGTGCAAATAGAAACTTCATTTGTATTTTGATTCTTTGTCGTCCCCCCCCCCATACAGATCTATCTATACTCATTTAAACTACTGTTAGAAGTAACTCCATTTTCTATAAATAAATTTATTTCTTTAGCTTCTTTTCCCATTGGGTGACCACATGACAGTGTCATACAATGGTCCTTTTCGCACTTGGATCTCATCCCTGGTTTTATCAGAGTTCAGCTCGCAACACAATACCTTGCATTTATCGCTGGTTATAACAGCATCCATTTATCCCCGAACAAGTGTGAGGCAAAACTGGGGTGAACTCAATGTACTGTGGAAACAAAAAATACCCCGAGATAATTACAGGGGTGAACTCGAGTGTAGTATAGAATGTAAGTTCGGGGACAGGGTTGAACCAGGATCTAAGGTCTAATGCCGAATCACCCAGTGACAACCCAGCTCCTTGTTTTGCTCACGTTTCTTCAACATTTGTGCTAGTCACTTAGGGGCTCAAGTCCTGCTTCAAGCATTTTTATTAACAGACTGATCATTCTAGGTGCTATATTTAAGAGACTATAGGTTTATGTTACTGAAGACGACCTTATTGCAAAAATGGAAGATTTTTTAGAGCCCCAAAGAAGCTTTGTGTAAGTTCATTAAAAGATAGGAAGACGCTCCTAAAAGTTACCAAGAAACAAGGCTAGTTACAGAATGGTGTGGACGGAAAAAGGATGCTGCTGTTAGGCATTCACAAGAAAGACTCGATTGTGATTTCTAGAGCAGAGCAGGGCATGGTGAGCTCAAACTTGGTGATGACATCAGGGTGAAGGACTCCAAGGTTCCCAATGTTGTGTCCTTTAGCAAAAATCGCAGCACAGCGCCCAGGGAAAAAAGCAGAGTCTATGAGAAAAGAGAAGGTGAAAAATGAAATAGTTAATAAACAGTAAGAACATTGATTGTCTTAACAATCTTTATACAAACAAGTAATTTCCCATTGAACCAAATGGCTCATAATACAAGGAAGAAGCTAAAAAACCCAAAAAGAGCTTAAGTATTTTTAAGCCTTTGTCTGTAATCATGTTTAATGGGAATAAGAGCAATTAGTACATCAACCATTATTAATTGCAAAACCAAGTTGCATCATATATTGTGAAACAAAGATGTTAAATGTTTACTGCGTTATGGTAAAGAAGAAGCTTTATTTCTCTATTGAGATTATAAATAAAACAGGCATTGAAGATAGGGTTGCCAAGTTGTTGCAGTCACCGCAGCGGGGGACTCCCGTGTGGTGACTGGAGTGCGCGCGTGCGCGCCACATGCACATCACCTGGTAGTGACGTTAGGACACCGGGCACGCTGGGGGCGGGGCCACAACCATCGGAGGGAAAACCATAGAGTTTTCCCTCCGATGGTCATGGCCCTGCCCCCAGTGTGCTTGGCGTCCTAACGTCACTTCCGGGTGATGCGCACGTCGGGGTGGGGTTTCCCCCGGGGCCCGATCCACCGCCGGCGGGGAATGGGCCTCTGGGGCGGGGTTTCCCCGCCCCCCGGGGGGACTTGGCAGCCCTAATTGAAGATTACAATGGCACAAATAAGAGCCTTATAAAACTGCAATGGAAGTAGCATTTCCCTGAACTGAACCATGAAACAACTGAACCATGAAGCAAAATTCGTGACAAAGAAGTTTGTAATGGCTCTGTCATCACCAACTTCCACAAACTTTTGGAGCGAGTTGGTGTTGTTTGTGGTTCGTGCATGGGGCAGAAAGCCCGGGTCCCTTTAAACCCCTGCTTTATTTCCCCAAAAGCCTCAAAACAGCTGAGCAGTGGGGAGGCACTGCCTGCCAGTAAGCGGTTTTGTGCTGTCTTCTTCAGTCTGTTTAAACTTTAAAGGGGCTGTTTGTGGTGAGCTACAAACCAAACCACATTTTCATCATTCGTGTGCATCCCTACTAGCTTTGTCTCATGTCCTACCATCTGAAACTGGCACAATGGCCATAAAGGTAAGGGCCAATCCACACACTATTTTTAGCATTTGACATCATTGCAGTGACTTTAATATGCAATTTTTTGTGTGAACAATGCTGACATAACAGAATTTTTTTTAAAGGATGTATTGCACCAAAGACAACTGTATATGTTTAGGGACATTTCCTAAACACACATTTGTTCAGAAACTCTTCTATTGCAAGACACACTGCATCCTCGTACAATGGGTTAACGTAACTGTCAAGCTATATATTTCTGGTAAAGGGCCCAGCTGTCACCAGGCTTAACAAGAAGCACATTATAGCTCAAATATTACTGAGATTTCAGACTTCTCATTTGTGTAGCAAGCCAGAGTCACGTATAGCCCTATTAAAAAAACCAGTATCAGATATTCCTCAAGTTCATGAGCTGCTTACGTAAACGATTTCTGAAACGGTTGCATTAATGCACAAGGACCAAGCTGGATATTCATACAAAATAAGCTATTAGCAAAAGCACCCATGAAGTATCCCATAACTGTATCTAAAATGATCTCAGAAGAATGGGAAACTGTACCTCAACTATGTACTTCTGGAAGCACCACCTTAGCCAAACAGTGAGAAACTGAATTACAGCAGCATGCAATAATCTCATTCCAATATGAGGAATTCGCCACAGAAGTAGCACAGGGGGTTCTTTTACCAAAACAAACAAAAAGAAAATTCAAGTTTCAGTTGAATACCAAGCCCCAACTGCTGGCTACATTGCAGACACTGCACTGCCCATTCCTACTGCATGAAGCCAGGTTTGACAAAGGAAACGGCACAAGGTTATTCTGCTTTCTTAAATTCTAAACATGTCCACCAGCAAAGTTCAGTGTTCTGCATGCACTGAAGCTCCATGCAAGTATCTGTGTGGGAGTTAATTGTGCACACTCCATTAACGTGCTACAACCCTAACGTCCTACACATGATGCTGACCCACTTAATTCTCCAGGTGTCTCTCAGATTCCATGTGGGAAACTTTTTTGAAAATGTTGCTCATAGATGTATTCATATCAACAAGCACTCAAGGAAATGTAACAGAAATGCACAGGTTGGAAACTATATATTCTACAATTGTTTTTGATTTCCTGTACAAGGCAAGCAGAAAATTCTTACCAGAATTATCTACAAACACAGAAGAAGTATGTTGCAAATTCTTGCTGTGACTGTACTAGTTGGGAGGAAATCTGTGCTTCCCCACATCAAAAATTCTTCTGTTTAAAAAAAGCTAGCATACTACAGAGAATAGAGCTGTAGTAAAGTGGAATTATCAGAAGAATGCTTTTGCAAAGGGATAAGGGCTATGGTTTATGGTACTGTTTATTGCATATATTATCTTGTTGCATTGTTTTCTAATTTCCAGGTTTTGCATTTCTTATGTCATGTCTTACATGTTTAATTGCACTGTTTCCTAACTTTGTAATCCAGTTCTATTGCACTGTTTATTGTATGCCTTATCCTGTATACTGCATTGTTTTAAATTTTGCAATCAGACTTCTGTCCCAGCTAGAAAGACATACTATGAACAAAGGAAATCAATCAATGCTCATTGTTTGCTATGTTCAAGGAATGTTTCTTATGAGAAGGAGTATGCTAGCATTTTCATGTAATAATATCTAGCCATTAGTGAAGGAAATGAACTGCCCACTCCCCAGAATGGAACCGTACATGCAGACTGCCAGGTCTCTGTTGTTATCACAGTTCAATGAGAATGACTGCTGGCCAGAAACAGGCAAAGGACCACTGCAAGATGAATATGGAAAGGGAACATCTTGTTGGATGTGGACTGATGCACACAGTACCTACAAACCCATTATGCAGACCAACCCTAACCTTCCTTAGCTCTAGGACTCAACTGAGCAAAAAAATTTTTTTTGCTTTCACAATGCAAGCAAGAGGCAGCCTTGGTGCAAGGAAGGAGTTATAGCCCAGCGACATGCTACCCATGTACTGAAAGCAGGCATCTTTCTTGCAGTAGTATGTAGAATGGCATTTACCCATGTGAAAAATTGCCTTTAGCAAATACAAGCATGCTTCTACAGTAAGTCTCCTATTGGAAAACCTTTCTAAACTGTCCTGTAGGTTCTGCCAACAACTTCAAGTCAACTATCCTGTTTAGTCCAATCCAATTGAAAAAAATACAGTTGAGGTTGCTCTGTAAGCAGGCATCTTTAACCAAGCTAGATTCACACTTCAATGCCTTCAGGTGTTTCAAATTTTACTTGAGAACTCTGAAGTGCTGCAAATAAACCTAAATGGAGGAAACTATCACAGAAAGGTTATAATTGGTAACTTAGAAGGTGGGGCACAATTAAGTTCATAATACCTTCAGACAAACAAATGCATTGTGGGAAGAGATGCTCTAGCCTTATCCTAAGAAAGCCACATGCAGACAAAAATCACAGTTCATACTAAGAATGCAATTTCCAAAATGCTTTGAGGTTCAGTAATTCTGTTATCAAAGCTTTTACAACATGGCCCTAAGAACTTATAATTGTCTTTGTGTTCAGACAGCAGGACCGCTTTGATTACTCAGGGGGTAAACACTTTGGTCACTAATCCAATGGAGTACCTACTCTTTACCACATTTTCTGGTTAATTGAGCTTCAAAGGGCTGGCTGAATTCTCTTTCAAACATCTTGCACTGCTTTTTCTTTTAGCCCAGTTCCTTCCCTTCTTCCCATGTTTGGGAGAAAAAAGATTAAAGGAACGATATAGGATCAGAGTTGGGATAAAGCCTGAGACTATGCCAGCTCAAACCTATAATTTGAAAAAGTATCGGAAATCAACACTTAAATAATTAAGGGGAACAACCTTTAGATACCCAACATGATTCTTGAACTCCTTGTCACATTCTGCCATTGGTTAATCCTTGTTCCTTGAACACATGCTGACAACCATATCTCTCTCCATATAGTGACTGGAATACGATGCTCACTTAGACCATCACAACAGCACCAGATAAGCTGGCTACTTCTGTCAGCAGCAACTTTTCTACAGGAGGACCTCCAGAAAGTAAATAGTTTCCATGGCTGGCCATCACTAGAAGTGTGGTGAAATCTAACCACCCAAGTTACAAATTATCTAGCAGCTTGAATTTGGAAAAAGAGCGGTGGTTTATGTTTTTTGTTTTAGTCTTGCACTGATGAGAAAGCAAGAACTTCAAGGTCTGGATCCTGTACCTTTGCTCCACACATGCTTTTTTTCTGAGCACTGAGGAGCTCACAGAAACTAGAGAAAAGTACACACAGACCAACGATATAAAACTCAAACCCAAGATGTCATGTGTACTTGAAACATTTTAGTGAATACATACAATTTCTTCCATCTGCCCTGAATAATATTATTTCTCCACAAGTTATTTATTTTGTTGGACGTTTATCCCGCACTCCCCTGCACACAGGGCCCAGGGCGGCTCACAATAAATGATAAAACAAATAAGAACAGTTAAGAACACTCATTTGGTTAAATTATATGAACAACAATAAATAAGTCAGCATACCAGATGGTAAGTAGGCCTAAGTGCAAAGTGCTCCAATAAAATCTATACAAGGGTGTGCCTGTGATTAACCAGCTGGATGGTGGGCAAAATCACCACCGGTAATCTTTGATCAAATATCATACCAGGCTAGGGTGGGGTGAAGCAGGGGAGGCCACTATAACTGGACACTCATTGCATCATCCAAAGGCCTGGTGGAACATCTTACAGGCCCTGCAGAATTGAAGAAGATCCTGCAGGGCACTCATCTCACTTGGGAGACTGTTCCACCAGGCTGGAGCCAGAGCCGAAAAAGCTGTAGGTCTGGTTGAGCCTAAGGGGATGTCCTTTGGGCTGGGGACCACCAGCAGATGTTGGTCTGATGAGCACAATGCTCTTTGAGGGACATAG